TAGCACGAGCCTGACCAAGCACAGGCTCAACAGTCATAGAACAGAGAAGGCCGAATGGATTAACAGCAGGTTCGGTCAAAGCTGTGAACATTGTGCTACCGAGTTCGAGGGAGCACTACACCTGTGAAGCCTAAGTGGAGGCATAAAGCACTCCATAGCTCATGGGTCAGAACGATGCCAGGTAGAGTGGGATGGTGATGGTGGCCAGGAGCCCATAGCTCCTATCCCAAACAAAAGGGACTGGTCCTACGCAACCTTGTCAGCGTGACAGGACCTAACTGAGGAAAATTTTTCAGACTTACCTGACAGCGGGAGGGTTCTCGGGTGGACCCTTGTGAGTCCTTTCCTTATGAGCCTATGCGGGCACTGGCAGCTGAGACAGGGCCGCAGGCTTCTTTGTGAGCCAGCCCATTGATAAAGAGGGCTGTTTTGTGCTAAATTAGCAGCCACCTGCAGGTGCTACCCCAGGCAGGAATATCACCGACTAGCAGGGCTAGTGGTGGGAGTTGCAGCCCCCCCTTCCAGAGGCAAACTAGGGCTGTCAAATGCTGCCAGAAAGCTTTCGCCTCAGCACTTGGTTTTGGAAATAGCAGCCACGTGACAAGGCCTCTGATAAATCAGGCCCAATAAGCCAAACACCCAAGGGCTTTACCCCAGACAGGCAAAGCACTGACATGCAGGGTTAGCCGCAGGAGCTGAAGGGGCCCATTGTATCCCCAAAGGGAAAACCCAAGCCTTACCATATGTTGCTGGCACATCTACAGCCTCGGTGTGCAGTTCCCTCCAGAAGTCGCAGCTACATGAGCAGGCGCACGAAGGAGGGTTGGTGTGCAGCACTCACACACAGAGGCGCTTCCCATGTCAGGAGGAATCACTGACAGTCAGGGAAGGTGACCGGGGCAACAGGAGGCCCTTCTTCTCTAAGGGACAGGGCGACAGAGCCCTAACTCCTGCGGGGTCAAGTCAGTTGTATGATCAAGCCCCTTGAAACAATCATCCATCGATGATTCACCAGTCTCTCTCATGGTTGCTCAGAGAGAGGGTGTGGTGAGCCATGCCTCCTTTTCACTCTCTTCTCCTCATGAGATAGAGAGACTTAAGCTCCAACTCAGGAACGTCAAATGCCCGCCCTCATGTAGGGCTAAAAGGGCCATGGCCGGACTGGACGGGAGCGCAGTCACTGAATGGCCCGTTGGAGCAGAGAGGCTATCAGGCGATCCGAAGTCTGTGCAGGTAGAGCTGGCACGTCGTCTCCTCAGAGGCAAATTTTCTAGCCTCTGGCGAGGATTCCTCTGTTGATGTAGACTTAGATTTTAAGGACTCCTTGGTATTGTCGGGTTCCCTACTGCGGCCTGCACCTATCTGGGTAAGATGTAGCTTACTCAGGCAGAAAATCATTAATGTGCCTGAGAGTCAAAATGAGTAGGCCGAAAAAGGCGGGAAAGGAGAAAGAAGCAAACAGGTGAAGGGTGTGTGTGTGGGGGAGGGGGGTAAGCCAAGAAGCTGGCAAGCAAAAAAGAAAACAACTCACGGGGGATCATAGATTAGATAATTGAGAAGGGAAAGAATCCAATTTAGAGGGAATTGATCAATAAGCTAAGGGGAAAAACCCCTGTGGAAATAGCTCTATGCTCTGTAGAACTTTACAGCACGGCGGAAAAAAGGAACTCAGGGGAATCTTGGGTGGGAGGAGCTTGTGCCTCATGGGGGATCATACCATAAAATTGTTACTTTTAGCTCTGGAATGCTCCGAGAATGTCAGCGCAGGCGCAGACTAAACCCATACTGTATGTTTGAATTCACAGAGGCCACGAAGAAGAACTATTTGTTAGTTTTAATTCTAAAAAATTAATACCGTTTTGTGTTTATTTTTAATATTACCAAATTTAAAATTGAGGGAGGAGTCAATACTGATGGGAAAGGAGAGGTGTGAATGAAAATTCCAGCTTTTAAAACTACATCTTTTTTCTCTAGGAACAAATAGCTGAGGATAACACTGGGAATTTGCTTTACCTGAAACCTCCAGCAGGCTCTATTAAAGAAAAGAAGCTTTGACGTGCCATGAAAATGCCAGCATGCCCAACGCAGGCTTTCCCTACTTTGTTGTTGTCCTTCATTCTCTGCTATATGTTTCTACTCCTACTTGTTGCTAAAACCAAAAGGGATGATTCTGAGACTTTTCCGCTGGAAATGACAGACATAACCTGGAACTCACAGTCTGGAAAGCAACTTCACCATGTCTCTAAATTTGAGTGGGAAGCTGTGCTGAAGAAAAAGGATGCAGGCAGTTCCTCTAGTCTGCAGCCTTTATCGCCACCAGCAACCACAAGGCACCCCTTAGAAGTTCCCTATTCTGGAGGTTATAAATTCCTTCTCAATGAACCGGATAAGTGTCAGGAGAAGACCCCTTTCCTGGTCTTGATAGTGATAACTCAACCCCAAGATGTCGCCAGAAGGCAAGTCATTCGGCAGACATGGGGGAACGAGAGCTCGGTTCCCGGTGTCTCTATCCTCCGCCTCTTTTTGACTGGTGTCCACCCACAGTTTGTGTCCCCACTCCAACGCCTTTTGGAAGAGGAGAGTTCCATCTACAGAGATATTATCCAGCAGGACTTTCTGGACACCTACAATAATCTGACCCTGAAAACTCTGATGGGCATGGAATGGGTAAGCACGTTCTGTCCTAATGCATCCTATGTGATGAAGGCAGATACTGACATCTTTCTCAACGTGGGCTACATGGTATCACAGCTGCTACAGCCCCACTTACCCCCAAAGAAAGACTATATGACAGGATACATCTACCGCAACACAAAACCGCTGCGTAGCAAGGCTTACAAATGGTACGTTCCGCCGGAGGTGTATCCCAATGATACCTATCCGCCCTACTGTGGAGGCCCCGGTTATGTCCTTTCTGGAGATCTGGCCGAGAAAATCTACCGAGTGGCTCAGACCATCAAGGTCATCAACATGGAAGACTCTTTCATGGGAATCTGCCTATACGAACTTGGCATTAGTGTGACAGACAGTCCCTGGGGTCTCTTCAATGTGTATAAAATTGACTACGAGAAGTGCCGATTCTCTAGGGTCGTGGTTGTGCATCATTACGGGCCGGAGGAGCTCTTGCGGATTTGGCCTAGCTTTCAGGATCAAAATCAAACTTGCAAGAGTGAAAGCTGACACGATGAATCTGGCATGCCAAGCTCTTGCAGACGAGCGAGATGCAAACCAAACATGTTCATGGGTGCATTTATGATGGACAGATTTAAATTATGAAATTTGTACCTACAAATAGAAGAAAAAGGTGAAGGACAGCTCTGTGATTGTGAAAGTGGTACAAGGTTTCTCAGGTCAAACTCTCAAATTAGCATTTCCTGAATAAGTAGCGTTTGTACATCTACTTCTTATTATTCTCACTGGTATCTTCCCCATAAAGGTCTTGGGCGCTGTTCTTTAACAACTTTTCAGATCTGTTCTGAACTGCAGCTTTACATTGGATCAAAGGTGTGTTGAGTCCTGTTGTATTGTTTATCTGTGTGAGGTGGTACTCAGAAATCTCATATAGCCTCATGGCGCAGTGGTTAAACCACTGTACTGCAGCCAAAACTGTGCTCATGACCTGGGGTTCAATCCCAGGTAGCTGGCTCAAGGTTGACTCAGCCTTCTATCCTTCCGAGGTCAGTAAAATGACTACTCAGCTTGCTTGGGGGAGGGGGGCAATGTATAGTTTGCATAATTTTGTAAACTGCCCAGAGAGTGCTTTAAGTGCTATGGGGCAGTATCACGCTTTGCTTTGTTTTATAGACCAAAAACAAACAAACAAACCCAAATCTTGAATAGAGACAATGGTTCACCATTTTATTTAGCCTCACATTCATGTGCTTATTTTTCTTCATGGCTATTTACATCTACATCTTTCAAGCAGCATACCCAAACCATCTAAACCCAATTAAACCAATATGCTGCATCTACATAGCCACAGAGTAAAATGTGTGGTGAGTTAATCAACAGTACAAACCCTTCCACAAATGGATGAGTCTTCAACTCATGTCTAAAACAACAATTGTCAGTGCTTGACTAATCCGGGAGGAAATGTTACTACAAACGTTGGGCGCCTCCAAACTCAATGACCTGCTTCTAACTGTGAAGTGGATCTCAGCAGTATTTGGAATCACCAAGAGGACCTCCCAAAGGGGCCCTCAAAGACTGATTGGGCCTCCAACAAAAAGGTCAGTCTCTTAGGTTTCCCAGCACCACTCTCTGGAACTGAGAGTGCATTACAGTCTCCCAACACCCATCCTATTGAGGTAATCCAGGACGGTAACATGCCAGAAGCCACCAAGAATGAACAAGACCAACAGGGTCCCTATTAGTAACCCTGTAAGAAACATCAGAGCAGCCAAGGCTGGTTCCACCATGTCTAGCTCAGTTTCTCTCTCTCTCTCTTTCTTCTCTCTTGGCCTGTGGCCCTGGGCAAAGTGGAGGTGGAAATAGCCATTGTGGCAAGTAGGCATGGGGTGGGGATGGACATGCTCCCCTGCCTCAGATAGCAGAAAAGCTCATACTAAACTCTAAATGACACTTGGCTAGGCTATTACTGTATTTTTGCAATAGCAAACCATTGGGAATCTGAAATATATGATAGGTCTCTTTTGCTGATGTTGATCCAGACCGTTTATTGTTTAGCTAATACTATCTTCATTGGTATCGCAATTTTAGTGGTAACTTTATTGCCTATTATTTATTGTCTATTTACCTTCACTGCAGGTAGCTGTACTGTTTAAGGATTTCCTGTTTAATGTTTGTAATCCTTGATAACTCTTTTATTATAGATATGTAGTTATGTTCTAATTTATTTTAATGATTATTAATATGATTTGTGGATGTATAATTTGTCCCATTGTCCATTTCCCACCATGCACTTGCTGCTTATAATTAATTTAACCAAGAACTGACTTGAGTTTCTGGTAAATTTCTTACTCCTCCTCTTCTCTCCGTGGGCCACCTTGCTTTGCAAATCAGTTTGTTTGTTTGTTTGTTTGTTTAATATCCCACCTATTTGGTCGGGTGAGGACCACTCTAGACGGCTAACAATCATAAAACGATACAATAAAAATGTAAATAGACAGTTCTAAGTGATAAAAACACTACATTACGATACACAATCCAGGGGAAGATACCTTGATCATGAAATTCCCCCTCAAGTAGCATCACATATCCTGTTTCCCCCAAAATAAGACCTAACCTGAAAATAAGCCCTAGTATGATTTTTCAGGATGCTCGTAATGTAAGCCCTACCCCCAAAATAAGCCCTAGTTAAGTGAAACCCCGCCCTCCACCATTGTTCAGCAACCAGAAGATGACATGACTGTATTTGAATAAATGTAGACGGTTGTACATGAAAAAAATAAAACATCCCCTGAAAATAAGCCCTAATGCTTTTTTTCAAGCAAAAATTAATATAAGACCCTGTCTTATTTCCAGGGAAACACGATAGCATCTTGGAATTTGTGTCTCATCTCTTCAGTCACCAAGCAGTCTGCATCAACCTTTTATTTAAAGAGTACTATACGTAGATGGATGAATACTATATAATCATTATTCCCCCCCCCTTTTTTAAAAAAAAGACAAAACAGTTTTAAAGGATTTCCCCTGTGTCCTTTGGCACCTTCCCAGTGAGTGTGCCAAACCAGAAGAGTGCCCACCAGCAGCCAGCAGTGCCTACATCTGAGGATTCTTGGGGAGGGGCTGCCAATCTCTCCCGAATGAAGCCACTCTGAAGTCATTTGCTTCCTTAAAACAATCAACTTTTATCAATGAAGGCCCAGCAGGGGCAACAGGCACACAAACCTTCAACTTGCAATAACACCTTTCCCTCCAAAGGGGAGAGGAAAGGCTTCCAAGAACTTTTCTCTAAATTAGGGGTTCCTCCCTTTTAGAGGGATGTGGTGGCGCTGCGGGCTAAACCGCAGAAGCCTCTGTGCTGTAAGATCCGTAGATCTTCAGCTGTAAGATCGAATCCACACGACGGAGTGAGCACCTGTCGCTTGTCCCAGGTCCTGCCAACCTAGCAGTTCGAAAGCATGCAAATACGAGTAGATAAATCGGGACCACTTCGGTGGGAAAGTAACAGCGTTCCATGTCTAAGTCGCACTGGCCACGTGACCACGGAATATAGTCTTTGGACAAACACTGGCTCTACGGCTTGGAAACGGGGATGAGCAACGCCCGCTAGAGTCGAACAAGACTGGACAAAAAAAAATTGTCAAGGGGAACCTTTCCCTTTCCCTTTTCAATAGTCCAGGGGCTGTCCCTTTTTAGTCTTAGAGAGACTGGGGCAGCAGGTACCTGTGGTGGATAGGAACTGTGCCAACAGTTGAGTGAGCACTATCTGGGAGTAGTACAGTAATTGGAAGAATGAAAGAAGCAGAAAGGTCAGCAGAGTGAAGCCTGGCATACCTAGTACTGTGAGCAGAATATGCCATTGTCTCTTATTTAAAGGAGGCTTCAGGGAAGCCCAGCAGCGGTAGGTTGACCTCAAGAATATTTTCAAAAATAAGTTTTTCTATAGATCCAGGTACCTGCAGTGTAGACTGACAATGTCCTGACCTGAGAGAACACACTCTCTCTCACTGGACAGACTAGCTGGTGGGCAAGACAGCAGTCCCACTGTCACGTTGGCTAGACCTCTCCAGAGTCCTTCTCTGGAGAACCTTCCTTCCAGGCACTATTTGATTTATTTTTTTCCTTTCCATTTTGAACAATTGATTATTGATGTTGTATATTGGTGTTATATTTAAATTGTTTTATTTTTAAATGTTGTTAGCCGCCCAGAGTGGTCAATTGACCAGATGGGTGGGATATAAATAAATAAATAAATTCACAGTCCAGTATAACAAAGGATTGGTCTCTTTTGGCTTACAGTGCTCCTGTATGTACACCTCTGCCATGTCCTTCCTCTGGGGTGGTATACAGTGGTGCCTTGCTTGACGAGGATAATCCGTTCCAGCAAAATCACTGTAGAGCGAAATCCTCGGCAAGCGAAATAAAAAAGCCCATTGAAATGCATTGAAAACTGGTTCAATGCGTTCCAATGGATGAAATCCCTCAGTGTCCAGCGAAGATCCTCCATAGGGCGGCCATTTTCCGATACCTGTGCAGCGAAAAATCTGTCCTGAACACAGCGGGGAACCATTTTGAACAGCCAGCAGCCATTTTGAAAACCTGACGATCAGCTGTTTTGATCTTCATAATGTGAAGAATCGGTTCCCGAAGCAGGGAACCAATCGTTGCAAAGTGGATTTTGCCCATTAAAACATCATTTTGCGATTGCTTGTCGTGAAGCAGATTTGTAATCAAGCGGGTAATCGTTAAGCAGGGCACCAATGTATATAGAAGACAGGCCCCTTCCATGCTTGTCCAGACAGTGTCTGCTCTTGCAGCGGTGAGAGACTTGGATTTTAGAATACAACTGCTGTTTGGGGTGGTATGAATGTTGCTAGTTTCTTTCTGCTCTGTGTGACCCGTCAGTGCTAGCCAGACCTTCTGCACTAGTTGCTGCACATGATGTAAAGTTGGCTGGCCTCACCTCTTCTCTTGCTGCTGAATATTCATTGCCCACTGTTTAATACTACAATCCAAGAGGGTTTCAAGAACATATTCCTCCTTCTTCCACAAGGAGGCAAACCTGTACAAGTCCTTTAGCATGCTGACCAGGAACACCAATTCAGGTCAGAAAAAAAGTTTTCCTTCTATGGAATCATTCATCCATCAAGACTGTCCACTCATTATGCCATTATGTGAACCAAGCCATGGAACATTGGGATCACCTGGCTATGGACGGTTGTCCCCCCCATTAAAGACTCGTGTGGCACTCTCAAAGCTTTGAAGGACATAGACCATTTGACCCATCATGTCCCACGCTTCTCTGCCCACAGGAGCAGCCACGCCAACGGAAGTCTCCAGTGCCAAATCAGGGAGTGCCTTTTGCTGCTCCAGCGCTCTTTCAAGCAGGTATTCCATCGAGCGTGCACATCCTGGATTCTACAGGATGTGCAATTGCAATTTTGCTTGCCTCTGTTGCAACCAATCAGCGCCCCAGGCAGTGCTGAAAATGCTGTCATCATTCTGCCCCCCTCAATAAAGATCCATGTCTTTGATACCCTGTAAAGCCCCCCAATCAATTAGGTTGAGTGTGTGGTCCATACACCACTCATCTTCCCAGTTTGCAATGCTGTCACCGTGTCTGCCCCATTGCCAATGACAAAGAACTTGCTTTTCTGTAGCTAGACTCTACTGCTCCAACACAACCCTCGGAGCCTTTTCAATGCTGTGAACTCTGTGGCTGCCGTCCATTACAGCCACAGTCAACATGGTCCACCTGTATCCTGCCTGCCCTTCTCTGTTGCCCTATGTCTGATGCCTGTACCTCTCACCAGTGTCCCGTCAGGAAGATATAGGCATGTTTTGCACCTTGGGTACTCCAGATGTCAGTTGTAAAACATACCTCCTGTGCCCTGGCCAACTGCTGCTATACCAGTTGCCTCATAGCCCAATATGAATCTTGCACCACCCTGCAGCTAAGGGTTGTTCAAGATGGCAATTGGT